TACGGTAGGAAATTTACTAAGTATCTTCATGGAACATGATCTTTACTTAATATCCTAATTAATTTTGGCATAAAAGAAAAATCAATCATTTTGACCCATACAATGTATTTTTGGCTATTGCTACAAATATACCCCAGCGACTTAAGACTGGTTTTGTGCTCCAGGGACACATATTGTAATTGACACCGGAACAGCTTTCTATTTTAAATGCAATTTATAAAATCTAATTTTCAGTATCACATTTCTTCAGAAATCATTCTAAAATGCTGATTTGGTGCTCAAGAAACATTTCTTACTATTATCAATGTTAAAAACAGTTGTGCTGCTTAGTATTTTTGTGGAAACCGTCTTTTGTTTGTAATATACTTTGATGAATAGAAAATTAAAATCAACAGCATTTATTTCAAATAGAAACTATCTGCATTATTATCTGAATTATAAAGGACTTCCTTGTCACTTTTGATCAGTTTAATGCATCCTTGCTGAATAAAAGTATTAATAATTTCTTTAAAAATTTGACACCAAACGTTTGAATGGTAGTGTATTTATTCCAGTGAAATTTACAAACACATTGCCTTATAAAAGTTAAAACAATGACTGGAGATTAATACTCAGAACTAAAAGGATTGTATCATAGAGGATCATGCTGCTGTTCCTGTTTTCTAGGGTGGTCCATCCCGTCAGCAGTGTAGGGTCCCAAAAAAACTGTAGCCTCACTAAAGTGTAGCTTTATAGTGCCCCTTAGTGGTTGAACTCTTTTAAATGTTGTATTAATACTCAGCATTACATGAAGCCTATTTGGCACCCAAATGTGATGCTATTCTTCTATATTTCTCCTCTATTCATTCCAACTCCTGCCTCTCTTTCTGTTTCCACTGCAGGTAAGAATGATATTTTTGGGGAGCACATCAGTCTATATGCCAGGCCGGGGAAATCAAGTGCGGACGTGAGGGCTCTGACGTACTGTGACCTGCACAAGATCCTCAGAGATGACCTGCTGGAAGTGTTGGACATGTACCCCGATTTCTCCGACAGCTTCTGGAGTAACCTAGAGATCACATTCAACCTTCGAGATGTAAGCCACTCAAACTCACACAATACAGAGGAAATAAATGTGTGTTCAACAGCGAGTTATTATTTGTGTTTCTGTACATGTTTTCTGTAATTATGTGAGTTACTGAAGCTTGTGTGTATCAGGCAGACAGAGTCATGCATGCAACCCCAAGCGAGGACTCAGACTGTGGGTACCGTCGACTCAGACATCGGAGGAACCCCTTACAGCGAAATCGACCTGGTAAGTGTGCTAATCTAGTCCAAGAGGGACACAAAAATGATACAACATACTATTCTGATCTCTCTTCTCTCTTAAATCACTAAGATGGGATGGACCGAGATGGGATGGACACGTACCCAGTCCAGTCCTGTTCGCCTGTGGGCAACCACCGGGGGGCAATACCGCTCTCTCACTGGGATGAGTTATGCAGCAATACCAGTGCTGCTTCCTTGTCCAGTGAGGAGGACATGAAGCCCCTGGTATCTGGCCGAGGGGAAATGTACTCGCCAGGGACAGAGATGCAAGAATACTCCCCTTCTGCAGTCAGCCTAATGCCCCCCGACAACAGCACAGCTTCTGCCATGGGAGGACCACTGGGAGGGACACATCCGTGCACAGGTAGAAGGATTGGGTTTGATGCCTCCTAAATCATAGTAGGCTGAACGTATTATCAGCCCAAGTTCATGAAAAATATGCACCTGTGGGGACCTTTTCGCAAAAAGGGTTTCGCAGCAGTTCAAAAGTGAAATGTCTAGTGAGTGGTGCTAAAAGGCGTGTTTAATTTTCTCAGATCAGATAAACGTAAATGGGTAAATAATAATTGTTTTTTGTATTTACGTGCAAGCACGTATTGCAGCAGTTTGGAAATAAAATGTCTGGTGAGTGGCGCTAAAAAGTTAATGCTCTATCGCATTCAAAAAAATATGGTACCACGCATAGATATGTAGGTAGTTTCCTGTGTGTCTGCAGTAGTTAGACGCATGTACATATCTATGTCTGCAATAGACAGATAAGCAGATGATTTTGCTTAACTAACACAGTACAACAAGAAGAAGGCATTAGCTTAACATCAAAAGTCACTAAAGTTTAAAAACCTGTAATATTGAGTTAATTCATATTAAAAACACAAATCAACACATTCTTACCTGTTAAAGTTTATCCAATTTCTCCAATTTTGGTGGTTTTTGCAACCAGAGGCTGCGCAATGTGGTGGCATCCTGAAAAAACTCATTGATTTTTATTGTGAGTGATGACACATTGACCGTTCCAAAATGGTGGACGCGTCGACGTGTCAGGAACGGTGACTTCTACCTATACATATACCAAGCAAACCAAGCCCTAAACTCAAACGATGGCGCTAAAGAAAACTTTTTGCTAAAGCAATTGTGCCATTTCACCTTATTTCTACATAGCTTTTTTTTTGTCAAAATGTGTTTCATGAAACTTGTAACCAAGCTCTCCGCATTACAATTGCAGCATTGTACCAGGTGCGCTAACGAGCAAGTTTACTATGTCAGAAAAGCTGGGTATGTGGTGCAAATATTAAAATGTTTTACAAATCATTCACTATAAGTGGTTTACAGCTGATATCATAGTATATTGCAAGGAACCATGCAAAAATGAACATTTCACATTCATTAATTGATCATCTGCCCCTTTATTTAAAATTTGTATGAAAATAAATAAAGATTGTTGGTGTTTTACTGCCATTTTTTTTCCCTACAATTTAAACATGTAGAAATGTAGGTATGTAGTTTTTTTCCAGTGAGCCTGGGTTGCATAATATGCCATGACAATGACGTGGAGGAAAGGGGCGAAGTTTAAGTACTGTATAAGTTCGGCATACGTCACCAAAGAGAAGTCTGTCATTTCACCGGAAGATCCAGTTATGACATTTTGATTGAAAATTGCAATGTCAAAAAATGTTTAATCATATAAACATATAAACACACAAGACATGCATTTAAAAAGTAGACAGGATGAATTTTAATTTCATGCCAACTTTAAAAGTATGCAATTTCCCATAGCCAGCCAGTATGTACGTTTTGTAATTGGTAGAAGTATGCAAATTGGTGTTTAGCTACTGTTTATTTTTTATCTGCAAATGTATGATATTTTATAATCATTTTAGTCTTCTCCATCTTTAGCTTGTCTGTTACTTTGTATCTTTCTGTTCCTCTTGATCTTTCCACTCATTCTTCATCCATACAGCGGCTCCTCTGAACGTGTCAGGGTTACACGGCTGTTTGCCTGACCGCAGGACCAGTCAGTACTCAGAGAGTCAGAGATGCTCCTCTGCAGTGCAGGCCTGCTACCACCATCACAGCCCCTGTGTTGAGGACAGACCGAGTTGGCTGCAGGCGCGTCTGGAGCTGCTGCAGTCGCAACTCAACAGGTCCGATATCCAGAGGATAAAAAAAAACAAGCTTTTAATGGCAAAGTCTGCATTTGTCTTACAACTCCACTTTTCTCTCTCTCTCTCTCAAGACTGGAGACCAGGATGACGGCTGATATAAATGTGATCCTGCAGTTGCTGCAAAGGCAGATGGCACCTGTACCCCCTGCCTACAGCGCTGTTTCCCCTGAACTGCTGGCCCACCACGCTCATCCCACCAGCCTGTACACCTCAGCAACGCACAGCACTATGCCATCTTTACAGATCAATGACAGTTCATCACCTGGAAAGGTAGGTTATCACGTGAGCAGTGAGAGAAGAACGTTAGTTTGTAAACCACACATTACATAGATGAACAGCAGATGTGTAATTCCAGAAGCAGTATCCAACTTATTTCTCAGTAATGCGTTTTCTGCAAATGTGTGAGACTTCTGGTTCATTAGCCGCTGTAGGGAAATAACGAGAAAATTGTTTTTATAAAAAATAACAATAAATAACATTACACACATTTAATAAAAACAAAAAAAATTTAATTTATTAAAAATGCATTTTCTCTCAAATTTCCTGCAGATCCCCTAGCACTTTCTTGCAGGCCCCCGGGAGTCTAGACCCCACTATGAAAACCCCTGCTGAACAACCTCAGTTTTGTAGAGAATAATTTTTTGGGGAGATTTCCAATTTTTGTGTTCAAGTAGATAGGAGCTTTACTTGCATGTGAAGTGAAGTGAAGTGAAGTGAAGTGAAGTGACATGTGGCCAAGTATGGTGACCCATACTCGGAATTAGTGCTCTGCATTTATCCCATCCAAAGTGCACACACACAGCAGTGAACACACACACACTGTGAACACACACCCAGAGCAGTGGGCAGCCATTTTTTGCTGCGGCGCCTATATATATATATATATATATATATATATAGTAACAAAACTATATTATATTATTATTTTATATTACATGCAGATTTCAGGTTTTATTACTTACTGTTAAAAATGAGGGCTGTCAATAGAATAAAATCATTTCATGATTTTTGACAAAAAATAACTAAAACAATAACAACAAAAAAATTGTTTTTATAAAAAATAACAATAAATAACATTACACACATTTAATAAAAACAAAAAAAATTTAATTTATTAAAAATGCATTTTCTCTCAAATTTCCTGCAGATCCCCTAGCACTTTCTTGCAGGCCCCCGGGAGTCTAGACCCCACTATGAAAACCCCTGCTGAAGGTAAAACTGTTTGCACTACAAACCACTGTGTTCATAATTAAGATAATACATTCAAATAATATGCTAAGACACACCTTTTGCAATATCAAGCAGCAAAACAAGTTGTTTCGTACAGCTAAAAATAGCTGGAAGCAGATGAGGCCGCAAGCCAGATACATTAAATTTACAAATTAACAGTGGCGGCTCGTCGGGAAAAATAGGGTGGATAAGGAGGTCAAAACAGACCACTCCTATAAAAATGAATATGCTGGATATATTTCCATCTCTTTTTCATATTCAAGTATATGGCCTGATACTTGAATAGCAGGCTAAGATAATTGTTACTATAAACACATGTTTTTGAAAATGTTAAAAATGACTAGTGTTACCAAAATGGCGACGTGTAAACTGATATTGGTAATATAATGATTGTCACCACTAAGATACTTGTCACAGTTAGACTGATCTCTGTGTTCTTACCAAGTGGCAACCTCCCGCTCTCTCTAGTGAAGCCAACACGGAAGTGACTTAAACTGTAATTCTTCAACTGGGATATATTTCCATCTCTTTTTCATATTCAAGTATATGGCCTGATACTTGAATAGCAGGCTAAGATAATTGTTACTATAAACACATGTTTTTGAAAATGTTAAAAAATTTGCTTTTAAATTGTCATTTGTACTAAAGCTAAAATAAATTATTAAAATATACATAAATTAATAAACTAAATTATAAACCTGAAGGGTAACTTGATTCACTTGGAAATATTTCTTATATTTCTATTTCTGTACTACATATTTCTATTCTATTATATTCATTTTTCACAAAACTATATATAAGTGACAGGTGGATTGCCGCTGCTGTCACCTCCGTCGAGCTAGGTGGGTGTGGTTTCAGCAACCAGTTCCCGCCTCTTTGCCCATTTTCGATTATCCAGGAGTGACGCGCTGCCAAGATGGCGACGGCCGGCTCCGCCTACTTTAGGCTTCAAAAACACTCTTCGGAAACCTACGGGTGACGTCACGGACACTACGTCCATGTTTTTATACAGTCTATGGTTCTTACACTATCAGCAGTCTAGATGAATCTTTGTAGTGATCTTGTTGCATGTCTGTATTGAACCGGACCTGTTTTATCCACAGAGCCCTGACTTGGACAGCTTCAAAGAGAAGTCTCCAGACTCTTTGTCCAGTGGGATCCATCTAACAGTTGCCTCCAATGACACCATGTCCATGTCCCCAGAGACAGAGCTGGCTGTGCCCACAGGACTGAATCCCCCCGGAGAGCCTCATCTACAGCCCCCCGGACTGCTGTGTAGAAGCCTGCGCTTCCCTTCGCTCCCGGACAGTCTGTAGAGTCCGAGCACGCTGGAGGGATCACCAGAAATCCAGAGGCACCTGTCCGATCCAGTCTTACCTGGACGCTAGAGGCCAAAAACAGACTACTGTCCGTTCCGAGACGCATATGTGCTTTCCCTTTTCAAACAGCTCAATATTTCACTTTTGCAATAAAATTCATGCTACTTAGTTAAAAGGGCGTCCAGTAGAGAAACCGGTGACTGTAGATTTCCCTGAAGCTCTGAGGTGTTTTGTCTCATATCCCTTCTCATTCAGAGCAGGATTTTTTCCTCTGATGCGAGATTATTTGGTAACACCTCTCGACTTTTGTGTTATTGAATATGAAGAGAAGCACAGTGGGCAATAAAGACGAAGAGAAGATACTACATTATGATGACCTTCCACAATCATGTAATAATTGTACATTTTTGTCTGTCTGAGATTTGTCATTACATACTAAACCTCATCTTGTCTTCTTATGTCCGCTTCTTATGTCCGGTTGGATCCTCTGAGGAAATTACAATGTAATGTATAATGAATTGCTTGTGTGTACTGATATTGCAAACGTGCAAAATGTTCTTTTCAGTGTATATATTTTCTAATGATATACTATTATAAATATATATATTTTTGTGTCAGGTTAGGTGTTTGACCCAAATCTAATGTATTAGCCTATTACATCAAATGACGTTATGACTGGCACAAATATGAAGCTTTGTATATTTGGATTCATAGTTACCAAATAGGCATGAATTCAGGGTTATGAAATGATATTTCTCACTCAAGTGGTTATTTTAACTGCTGATGGGTGGTGTGACTGTGTGTGTTAAGCTGTGGGATCTTTTGGAAATGTGATCATTGAATTTCAAAGAGAAGACTACTCAATCTTGACGTTCTGATTGGAGAAACTTTTTGCGATGAAATCAGTGTAAAGTTTGGTTTACCTCTGCAACGTAAGTAGATGAATGTATGGAAAATGATTGGAAACCTTTATTGGACTGTGAAGGTTTCCAAAAGCACACACTTATTATTTTTTAGATTAAATGTTATTTATAAAGAAGTGCTAATGTTGCACTGGGTTTAAGATATCAATATTCTTGGTCTCTTTTTCATCATTTTTTACTTTTAGGGATCCATTGATACTAAAATGCTCAATACTAACAAGCTAATAATTATTTTAATGTTATAAGCAGTGTTATTTTTGTATTTTTTATATACTATTACAGTATTTTTCAGTGCTAGCATCTCTGGTTATAAATAATAATTAACTAATATTAAAATCTGTAGTATAAAAATGGCAATTCATTTAGAAATTTGCAAAATTGTACATTTAAGTGTTCATAAAAATAAACTTAGTGAGCATTATTAGATGGCAAATTTAATCAGAACACGGAAATAAAGGAAATGAGCATGCAGAATTAAATATCCATTATCTAACCAATAAAATAATCTCTAATATAATCAGCCAATAAACAGTTTTGCCTTGATACATTGTACACCCATAAAAATGAGTTGGTTGGCCTTTACATGATTAATTAACACAGAAAGCTTTATGAAAGAACAAGAGTTTAAGTGAATTTATTAATAGAAAAGCATCATGGCTGGACACACACAGAACTACTTACATTTAAACACTCCATCTAAGAGTGTGAGGTGAGGATGAGGATCCCACACAGCCTCGCAGATTCACTTTTGATTCGACCGAAAAGTGTGGCGTTACTACTACATCATATTTGTGTAACAACAGAACAGTTTCATGGACCGACCAAATGACTCGCAATGCAAAGTTATTCTGGAAAAGTGACACTTTTGTCCTACCTTGTACATAATAATTATATATGTATACAGTACACATTTCACTTCGAGCACAAGCATGTTGAAAGGGGACTAACTTTTTTTTAATGAAAAAGAACATGGGGAAAAATATAACAGGAACTCTCAGTAATGCATCTTTAAATGGAAAAGACATTGCCCACTCAAACATTGACTTCAACAGCGCAACTAACCGCTTTGTGAGTCGTGAGCGTGTCTGAGGAACAATTATGAATGTTTTGCAGTGACGTCAAGCATTTTATCTCCATACTATCCTGTATTTAACAATTTCCAGGGATACAAAAAAAATGGCACCTTCCTGAAATGAGAAATGAAAAAGAAAAAAACTGGATCTGAAGTTCAGAGGACCTTTAAAATTGTTAATCTTTGAAGTAAGTAATTACATCTTAATAAAACGGTAGTTTTGTATTGTCCATGTTGGCAATTTTACATCTTTCTGATCCTAGTTTTCAAAAATGTTTTTTACCGGTTAAACAGAATAAACATGTATCTTTCCCTACACAAATGGCCATACAATCATAGTAATTACAGTTGTGTTTAAGATCCCATTATGAGGACTCTGGGACACCGGCAAGTAGGAAAACAGACAAATATAATATATTGTACAGAAACACAGATACTCATTCACACGGCTTCATTCTCCCAGACAAAAGTTGCACACACATTGTTCAGACTGTTATTCCCATAGGCCCGTTCATACAGTTTCCCGCTTGAAACCCCCAGACCTCAGGAACTTTAGAAAACAAGTCTCTGCTGCATGAAAGACTCGCTTCCAGCAATGCTGCCCGCAGGAAGCACAGAGGCGCTTTAAGCCTCGGCTCTACACCCGCAGGATCTCCAGACAGTTGTTGTAGCAAATGGCAATCCAGTCGGGCTGAGTGGAGGCCCACTGCACGTTATTGATCTCTCCCTCGGCCGTGTAGGCCAGGATGGGGTCCTCGATGGCCCGCGGCATCTGCTGGATGTCCCAGATCAGAGCCTGGTGATCGTCCGCTACAGTGGGATTTAAAAGAAAAGGGGGCCAAGTAAAGAAGACTTGTATGAAACAGCACTGTCACTGCTGCTATAGTCTAATACTGACCAAACGAAAACAGAACTCACACAACCGGTCCATTTAAGAATTCAAAACTATTGGATGTGTAAACAATTTAATGCATGTTTACGTGTAAGTTAATGTTTGATTTGAATAATATATTAGTAAATGCTCAAATGAATATGTGACCCTGGACCACAAAACCAGTCATAAGTAGCACAGGTATACTGTATTTGCAGCAATAGCCAAAAATACATTGTATGGGTCAAAATTATCGATTGTTCTTTTATGCCAAAATCATTAAGATATTAAGTAAAGATCATGTTCCATGAAGATATTTTTTAAATTTCCAAGTGTAAATATCAAAACTTCATTTTTGATTAGTAATATGCACTGCTAAGGACTTTTTGGACAACTTTAAAGGCGATTTTCTCAAAATTTAGATTTTTTTTTTGCAACCTCAGATTCCAGATTTTCAAATAGTTGTATCTCGGCCAAATATTATTCTATCCTAACAGACCATACATCAATGGAAAGCTGATTTATTCAGATTTCAGATTACGTATAAATAATCTGAAAAATTTACCCTTAGGACTGGTTTTGTGGTCCAGGGTCACATATTTACTAAAATTAAAAAATGCCTTTTTTTTTTAGTTAGCTCATGTAACCTAATGTAGTTACATAATGTTAACAAATGGAAAAGTTTCACATGCATTCTTGCTAAATAAAAGCATTGATTTCCCTGAAAATCTATTTTGACCCCACATATATATACAGTATCTCACAGAAGTGAGTACACCCCTCACATTTTTGTAAATATTTTATTATATCTTTTCATGTGACAACACTGAAGAAATGACACTTTGCTACAATGTAAAGTAGTGAGTGTACAGCTTGTATAACAGTGTAAATTTGCTGTCCCCTCAAAATAACTCAACACACAGCCAATTAATGTCTAAACCGCTGGCCACAAAAGTGTGTACACCCCTAACTGAAAATGTCCTAATTGGGCCCAAAGTGTCAATATTTTGTGTGGCCATCATTATTTTCCACACACACACACATTTGTGTTGTGCGTGCGTGTGTGTGTGTGTAACCAGGCTGGTTTCTCACCTGCTGTACATATGTGACAGGAGGAGTGGGGCGCCCATGCGATGCCGTTCACACAGGCACGATGATTATTGAGACGAGCCACAGGTGTGCACGGCACACGCACGTCCAGAATCACCACCTGACAAAAATAAAACATTGGATAGCAAAAATGAGGCACATGAGAAAACATGGAGACAAATATGTTAATACAGTAAGAGGGACTAAAAGAGAGACCTCCATGCCATCCATGGCCATAGTGGCCAAGTAGTTGGGGTCCTGTTTGTTCCAGCACAGGCGCAGCAGTGGGTGATGTTGAGGGTCCTCATAGATGATGGTGCTGTGCTCCAGGTGTCGCAGATCAAACATGCGCACGGATCCGTCTGCTCCCACAGACGCAAACATATCGCGACCTCCACCCGCACGGCTGAATGCGATGTCATACACCTGAAAGCCAATGAAAAACGCTTTTATACAGAGAAAGCTACTAAATACACTATTCAGAAGAATCTGAAGCTCTAGGGTGAGTTTTTCCTCACCTCCTTGTCGTGAGCAATTAGCTGTGTTTTGACATGGCCTGACACCAGGTTGACCCTTCCTAGGACCTGTCCTGTCTCTAAACCCCAGATCGTACAGGTGGTATCAATACTAGAAGTGCCTAAAAACACAAAACACACATACATGAAACCCTGACCATCTTTTGAGTGACAAACATACAAATGTGTAAAACATACATTTTTCTCCTAAACAATAGGGGTGGGAATCTTTAGTCACCTCACGATCCGATCCGATTCCGATTCTGGGAGTCACGATCCGATTCCAGAACGATTCTTGATCTACTTTTTCCCCCCCCTTATTAATTAATTAGTTTACCGATTCGAGAATCTTAAAATCCTTACATTTACATATCCTTACATAAGTAATTAAGTACTTTTAAAATAATTAGGCCTACAAATTGAACACAAAAATTTAAACAGTTGTATGTTAAGAATTTTAAACAAATATAACTTCAAAACATACAAGTAGCAAATAATAAAGAGGAGCATAGAAACATATTACAAACAACAAACAAAGAGTGCTTCCAGTATTTAAGATTATCTGAACATTTTCCATTCAAGAACTGAGAGTGATTTTTCGTCATCTTTAGGCTACGGTTGTTTTTTACTGACATCATAGACAGCGGGAGATCTATTAAGCTGCATTCACGCACGGATCTCTTTTGAAATATAAGAAGTAATGTGGTTTGTCCTCTCCGTTTAATCCCTTAAGACATAACTGGCTACATTACATTAATTTTGCATCATAAAACCATTTTGAGACGCAAGTGCATTAAACCACCACGGAGTTGCGCACAGCCGCATGCGCGAGCAGTCTTCACAAAGCACGCTACAGCATTTGAAATTGAAAGCAGCCTTCTGTTAGTGAGGTTCAGTAAGGAAAATACTGACGGGCAAGACTGCACACTTCGTGTAACATCAAACAAAGCGCGCGTCTCTCACAGCGCATCTTGTGCAATGAAGCCCGTGAATGTCCTTGTAATTCACTTCAACCTTTCCGAACTTTATGAAAGATTATTTTACGGAAGGTTCGAGTGGTGTATGTGTGTGAGGAATTGGAAGCAAGCAGAATACGGGTGTTTCTAAAGCAAACTCAGCATCATCGCGCATCTGGTTAAAAACTAAGCTCAGAATCCAGAATTGCTGGAGAGAGAATCGCGATGCATCGATGGATCGATTTTTTCTCCCACCCCTACTAAACAAGTGCTATTTTAGCAATATTCTTCTATACCACTTCTATTTTAAATTAGCTTCTATTTTTATATTTTATATTATCAGTTTTAATTTTGTTTTTCTTTTTATTGAACAGTTTTAGTAATTTTAGCATTTCAACTTAAACTTACCAGTTAGTTGTCAAGACAACTTTCCTAAATTTTACATTTAATTTGATCATAAAATTCTTCTGTCTCGACTGGAATATTTTGTGGGCATCCGGGGAACTGTTCTTAGCTGGTTCAAATCATATTTAACAAATAGAAGTTTCTCTATTAAACTGGGTAATTTTTCTTTGTCGCCTACTAAACTTTCCTGTGGAGTGCTGCAGGGCTCTATTCTCGCACCCATTGTTTTTTCTTTGTATTTACTTCCTTTGGGCTCTATTTTCAGAAAGCATGGTGTATCATTTCACTGCTATGCAGATGATACCCAAATTTATTTACCTCTAAAACGAAATAAACATGTTGCTCTGGATTCTCTTTTTGTGTGTCTTGATGAAGTGAAAACGTGGTTCTCTCAAAATGTTTTATTTTTTAATGAATCAAAAACCGAGGTTATAGTCTTTGGCCCCAGTGAAAATTCAGGGAGCAGAAGTATCAATCTGGACTACCTTGCTCCCTTTGCTTCTTCCTGTATCAAGAACTTAGGTGTGTTCTGGGAGCCGAGTCTCAAATTTGATAAACAAATAAATGTAGTTATTAGTTCTGGTTTTTTTCAACTACGTCTTCTCTCCAAAATTTAATCTTTTCTCTCTGAGAAAACTTTAGAGATTGCTATCCATGTGCTCATTACATCTTGCTTGGACTACTGCAACTCTCTTTACCTTGGAATTTCTACATCATCCATCGCTCGTCTCCAATTATTACAAAATGCCGCTGCTAAATTCCTCAAAGGACAACGTAAATTTGATCACGTTACTCCAATTTTGAAATCGTTGTATTGGTTACCTGTGCATCTTAGAATTTAGTTTAAAATTCTTCTTTATGTTTTTAAATCTATAAATAATCTGGCCCCGAGCTATCTATCTGATCAACTTTATCCATACAATCCTACACGAAATCTGAGGTCTGGTGACCAAAGACTTCTCTCTGTCCCCAGATCACGGTTAAAGCATAGAGGGAATCGAGCCTTTGCGGTTGCTGGCCCTAGGCTGTGGAACAGCCTTCCAGACTATATCAGATCGGCACGGTCTTTAACTGTTTTTAAATCATCTCTTAAAACCTATTTCTTCTCTTTGGCTTTCAATTCTTTGTGAGTTTATGGTATGAATCTGTGGGTTGCCCTGTGTTCTATGTTTTTGTTTGTTCAGCACTTTGGTCAGTTGTGCTTGCTGTTTTTAAATGTGCTATATAAATAAAACATAAAACTTAATTTTTTTATTTATTTAAATTAAAGCTGCAGTCCGTAAGTTTTGCCTCTTTGTCGCCATCTCTATTTGAAAACCTGGAAATGCAGCTGTGTGCGGAAATATTTCTAATGGTTTTAGTTAACAATCACTATCAACACTGCCAAAAAACTCCCAGAAGACTGAAGTCCATTTAGTTGCCAAAATGCAAAAGTGACATTTCTAATTTTTTTGAGTGCAAGGAATAAAATAAAATATTTTATTTAATATTTTTTATTTAAACTGTATATATTAAGCATTTATTAAATATATGTTTTTTAAATACATTTTGTATTTTTTAATTAAAATATATGTTTTCTATATTTATTTTTGCTTTATTTCAATTATCACAAATAATTTTAAATAGCTTACGGTTACGGTAATAGTTAACGGTCACAACAATGCCACACAATTGTGTGCTCTCACCCAGAAGATTCGGATCCACTTCATTCCAGTCAAAAGATGTCAGAGGTGCACAGAAATCAGAGTTCTTGTTATTATTCAGGAGACACTCCAGACGGGTCTCGGTGTCATTCACCTGACAACAAGATACATACAGTTCACTTACTTTATTTATATATACTGAGTTTGCATGTTTCTACAGTTCTGTCACAGTATTAAAGCTTGAAAGTCTCTGATCATTTCAAGTTACATCAAAATTGACCCTATTCACTTTCTTAACACACATTCCTGATCTTATTGTGAACTATTGTTAAGTGCACATTTATTTAAAATATAGAGACATTTCACCATGAAATCAATTATAGAATCAATCAAGCCAGATCAAGAAAAAAGAATGCCATGAAAATGTCTAGCTATTTGGCTATTGGTTAACATATGACATCAGTGGAAAAGGAAAACCACATCAGAGGAACAGCATTTTAAGCATTTAATGAAGTTATTACATTTGAATAAAACTGATACATTTAGATTTTTTTTGTAATGCACCAATGAATGTTCACAGCAAGACCAAGGACATGCATTAATAATGAAATAGTTCCATTTTCATCTCACGTTGGCTTGCGCAGTGCAGTCAAGCATGAGTGTGTAGCAGAAAGTGTACATACCCTCCAAATGCGCAGATAGTCTCCACTGGTGGCCAGCAGGTCTGGATAGACGCCCTTGGTGTCGGGGATCCACATGATCTTGGTGGTTGGGTACGGATGATCGAAGGTGTTCCTGCATACAAACTCTGAGCTCTCCTCCTCGAGACCCACCAGCTGGACCTGAACATCACAAAACAAGCAGCTGATGCAACAATGTCCATCTACTGCATCCATAAAGATGATGGGTTTCTGACAGCTGTCAAACTTTTATCCACAAGCAAGATACAAATAAGTCATCAAGCAACACGCTATTTATCTGAGAGTGTTCTCAAACTCTATGGGTGACATTTATGACCAACACTCTATTACTACACACCATTAAAACCCGTTAATCTGCATCTAACATGTTACTATACATTTCAGGCATACTTCTCTATATGACAGCAACACAAAACAAAGTAGAGCCATAACACACAGCGATCAGGGATGTCTTGGTGTCACACAGCGGTTTACCTTGTTGTTATATTCCTCAACGAAGCTGCCGAGCGCCAGGCGAAAGCGCTTGTCGGGTCTGACGCTCCAGTTCATGGCATAGACGGTCCATGGCGCCTCGTACTTGTAGATCTCTTTTCGTTTACCGTGCAACGACATGATTCAATCCCTCGATCGGACCGGTGAGAATAAGTTAGAATTGGGTCGTTAACAATACCTAGATTTGCAGCGATGGCTGAAAAAGGCTCTTTCAGCGAGAAAGATGGTCTTGTGTTTGTGCAGCGCGAGACAAAGAGAATAATGTCATAACAATCCCCTCCGCAACGGCCGCGAAAACGACGAGCTGCGCTCTGCGACGACACAAATCCTGCTTAGTGAAGCGCACAGATCACCATCTAATACTCAAGACTGTGTGTAGCTAAAGGCCCATGTTTTTGCTTAGTCCCAACGGTTTTAATTCTAACTTTAGAAAGCCCCAAATAGGCCCGACCGCTCAACGGCGCATTTGGTCTGAGGAGGATGTGCGTGTTTCAAAATAAAAGTCCTCGATAGAAAATGGGGGCTGAGCGCTGAGGTTATTTATAGATTTTTGTTGCTACTTGATCATTTTACTTTCACATCATGTTGGGCAGAGCTTCATTATTTTTTAGCAATTCCATTTAGCTTTGAAAAGTAACAAACTGTACATTAGATGTCAACTGTGGCTCAAGATATAGATAAATATTAGTAAATAAAAAAAAATAATAATAATTATTAAAAAATATATATTTATAACATGAGCCACAACAGAACAAGATCTAAAATCCTGAAGACCTAAGATAAATAACAGATTTCAGAACTAATTTTAAGAAAATATAAAACAAGGGTCAATAACAAATATGGATGTATTAAATAAATAAATAAATTCAATCTCATGTGCCGAGCCCTTAGAAATTTAATATTTGTATTTACATTGGCTTCAGAGAGTTTCAGCATTTATACAGTTTTCAGTAATAATGAATATTGTTTCTGTTTAACCTGAATTAACCATGCTTTTTCACGAAAACGTCAAAATATCTAATATTTAAATGTATTAAAACATAATATTATAACAAATTTTATATTTAAATTATATTATAATTTAAATACAATAAATGAATTGTATCAATACTTATATTACAAATAAATAATTGTATGCATATATAATTTAAACTTTATTATTTACATATGAAATATATATTTATTGTATTGTTTATACAATTAGCTAACTACAATATCTAAATATGCCTCTCATGCATACTCAGTAGGTTACTTCAACCGCAGTTTAATAATAAAGGGTTAATCATTTATCAGCGCGCCATAAACGCCCCGATCTTTTCTTATCCTTGTTGTCAGGGTTCGCACGGCATTGTGGGTAGAGTAGGTCAGATGACCCTCGCCTCTCCTGTGAGGGGTACAGCTGCTGTCACACACTGAAGGGAAACGCCGATATTTACAGGTACGTTTGCGTGATTTTGACGTTATCGTTGACTTTTCGTATTAAACCTGTGAGGTGAAATGATCGACACCGTGACAGTGGTGCAGAAATGTCGCGTGCGGTTTCTAAGGTGGATCGTGTAGCGGCCGCAGTTAGCGAGCTAGCAAGCTAGCATCAGTGTGAGTGTAACAGGACTCATGGGGGATGGGGTAGACCGAACTGGATAGCTTTTCTCAGTCAAACTTCAGATTTGTTTGATTTGCCTGACATGACACACACGGAAAATCTGCGTGGTATGTTTTATAGTAACGTTAGTGGAGCAATAAAGTTTTAGCTCAGCGAGGCATTGGCGCTGGCAGGACGAGTCTTTCTGAGATTACAGGTTAAACTGGGTTATAATTTAACAACCGTCACGTCTTCTCTGACTTCACGGTTTGCTGTTTCGAGCACGCTAGTTATTCTATTATCAGCCTTGTAACAGGAGGAGTATAACTTGACACCCGGTTATAACTGTTATCTGACATTACATGCTGCATGTAATTGGTGTGTAAGTATGAGCCATCTGCTTCACTCACTGTCCTGTCAGGATTTGCGCACATTGGATTAGGTGCTTAACATACTGTTATTGTACTGTATTTTATATTGTATATGAAGGAGGGATAGAAATGAACAGGGGGAAAGCCCTCTAATTCAAGATGTGGGGCCCAAAAAGCCCTTATAATAAATTTCTCTTTTTTAATGTTTGTATCGTCTTATATTTTTCCTTTACTACTATTATTTTGTGTTTTAGGCCTAAATGTAAGAATGTTCCCTCAGATATGGGTCAAATATGACTTCATTTTATAGATATGGCTGCAATTGACTAACTATATGGATCACTATGCCATGTGCCCTCAAATGTATGGGAAAAAAATTCCCATTAATAAAAAAGATTTCTGGTATATCCCATTAATTAGCACTGATTTCATGTGCATATTTGTCTTTGGATTTTTTTTTTTCGTTCAACTGATGAGCATGAAAAGTGGAACCGAATGTATTGTGTGTAATAAAATGAAATATTTTAACTTATTTGTGCCTATATTAAGTGAATTATCTCCATAAATTATCTCCGTAAATTGTCCATAAAGTCCATAGGAAAAAAACAAATCAGCTTAGTGTGTGGCCAACCAGACCATGCCATGTAAAGAAGTTCAGCCAATTAGAAGACTCATTTCAGTGAACATATGAAGGGCTTAGACTCTCATGATAAGACTCTGAAAAGATTGACCGACCTCCTCCTCTTATCTTTCTCCTGTTGCTATTCCACTATTGAAACTGAACCATTGCAAATGTTTGCTGTTAAGTGTGCTTACTGCACTTTTTATCATGCGTTTTTACACACTGATGGATAAACCGTAACTATTGTCTGGTAATCATGCCACACATACAGTACTGATAGACATTAAGTTAAAAATAACCGCAATAACTTCCTTAAGGTATGTGAGAAAATGATTTAATTGGCTTTAAAAGTATGTTTCTTTCAAATTGAACCTAAATAGATATGACGGAAGAGTGTTTTTACTTCACATGTTTGCAGTCTAAACATTAGTTTTCTTGGTATTATATGAGAATACCAAACAATTAAGTCGTGTTTGTCTGTACTACAGCTGATCATAGTATAAAGTACTATAGGCATCACTGGAGGTGAAATGTTTTTGATTATACACCAAATAATGCACAGGGCTACTTATCACCTATTTAATCATTAGTCATGCTATTGTCAAATATTTACTCTGTTTTGTTCGTTTAGACCATCAACATTTATGTTAGTCTGTATACCAACAAATAAGACTGGATATACACTACTGTTCAAATATTTGAGATCGGTATGATCGGTACGAGAAAAAAGTTTATTCAGGAAGGACTTTTATAATGTTGCAAATAGGGATGTAACGATTAACCGCGAGCCGGTTGAAAGTCGATTAAAATATGTGATGATTCAAATCGGTTGAGATGCTAAACAAATCGCGATTCAATTAGGGGTAGGAGTTTATACACTGAACAAAATTATAAACGCAACACTTTTGTTTTTGCCCCCATTTTTCATGAGCTGAGCTCAAAGATCTAAGACTTTTTCTATGTACACAAAAGGCCTATTTCTCTCAAATGTTGTTCACAAATCTGTCTAAATCTGTGTTAGTGAGCACTTCTCCTTTGCCGAGATAATCCATCCACCTCACAGGTGTGGCATATCAAGATGCTGATTAGACAGCATGATTATTGCACAGGTGTGCCTTAGGCTGGCCACAATAAAAGGCCACTCTAAAATGTGCAAGGACACATTTAATTTATAATTTGTCTTAAATCTCATTTTGTTAAAAAATAATAATAATCGTGAATCGAATCGAATCGTGAGTTGAGTGAATCGTTGCATCCCTAGTTGCAAAGAATTTCTATTTAAATGTTTTTCTTATCCTGCATAAAATTTATTACATTTTCCACAAAAATATTAAGCAGCACAACTGTTTTCAACATTGATAATATTAAGAAATGTTTATTTTTCTCAAATCATCATATTAGAATGATTTCTGAAGGATCATGTGACACCGAAGACTGGAGTAATGATGCTGAAAATCCAGCTTTGTCATCACAGGAATAAATGACATTTTAAAATATATTAAAATAGAAAAGAGTTTAATAATAATATTTCACAATATTACATTTGTTACTGTATTTTGAATGAAAATTAATCCAGTCTTGGTAAGAATGAGACTTCTTTCAAAAGCATAAAATCTTACCGACCCTAAACTTTTGAGCACTAGTATAATTAATCAAACTCTTTGTTGTCTATTTAAAAACAAGTTCATTTGTCTTTGTCAATGTTTGTGCAGGTCAAGCCATGAGGCATGTGGTCTTCCTCCTCCCAGCCCTGCTGCTGCTGCTGGCCCTGCCGGACACTAGGGGGCGCTACAATGATGACTTTGATGACGGTGAGGACATAGCTGAGTTTGATGACAATGACTTCGCTGAGTTTGAGGATGTCAGCGAGGACCCGGCAGTCGATGTGGAGAAAGAGCCGCCCCCACGAGCAGCCCCCTCATCCACACCTATAGAGGACGACGAAGACGAGGCCACAGTGGAGAACGAGGACGGCCAGGATGAGTTTGAAGATGCTGATGCACAGGTAAAAATGTGAAAGCACTCCTATTTCCGTTTTTCTGCAAGTCAAAGTTAATCTTAATTTGATCTGATCAATGTTATAGGATCAAGACATGTACAGCAAGTATGACAACGAGGAGTTTGAGGGCTATGAGAAGACCAACCCCTCATTCAAAGACACTCTTATATACAGAGAGGTACAAATTCAATGAAAAATGCACTTTACAGGCACTTCATTGGCTTCCTTAGGTGACTGTTTGTATGTACGTAACAGGTCCCAGCACACCTTCAGAACAGCTGGGAGAGTTATTACATGGAGATCCTGATGGTCACAGGTCTTCTTGCCTATATTATGAACTACATAATTGGCAAAAACAAGAACAGCAGGCTTGCCCAGGCCTGGTTTAATTCCCACAGAGAACTTCTCGAGAGCAACTTTGCCCTCGTGGGTAAGTGTACCTCTCTCTCCACTTTGTTTCTTCCTCTTATGCTGTTTTCTCTGACCCTGTTTTTGTCTGACTCTCAAACGTGTCTTTATTTTTAGGGGATGATGGTACCAGTAAGGAGGCCACCAGCACGGGGAAACTGAACCAGGAGAATGAGCACATCTACAACCTGTGGTGCTCAGGACGTGTCTGCTGTGAGGGCATGTTGATTCAGCTTAAGGTAGCGTGTTTATGTGAATAAGAGAAAGAACGATGTTTGATAGATATCTGTGCATTCACCATGGTGTCGTTTTTGTTCAATTGCAGTTTTTGAAAAGACAGGACCTGCTGAATGTGTTGGCCAGGATGATGAGACCAGCCTGTGATCAAGTGGTATGCACAAACTCTGATGTATTAGCATAGACTGATTACAAGTAGTGTGTCAAATGGATGTTCAAAAGGATGTTCCTCTTAGTCTTACTCTTCCTTATCCACAGCAAGTTAAAGTGACTCTGAATGATGAGGACATGGACACGTTTGTGTTTGCTGTGGGGAGTCGAAAGGCCATGGCACGCCTGCAGAAAGAGATGCAGGACCTGGTTAGTCATTAATGATTTGCATATTTTATATAAATTAGAATAGTATTTACACCGCTGTTCATATGTTCGGGGTCAGTAAGATTTGTTTTAGTGAATACTTTTACTCTGGGAAAATGGATCAGTCAGAAGTAACAGAAAAAACATTTACAATGTTGCAGGGATTTCTATTTTAAATAAATGCTTGAACTTTGAAAAAAAAAAAAGATCACTGTTTACACAAATTACAAAACTGAATTTTCAAAACTGATAATAGCAAAAAATGTTTCTTGAGCAGCAAATCAGCATATTAGAAGATTTTCTAGGACTGGAGTAATGGCTGCTGAAAATTCAGCTTTGCCATCACAGAAATAAATTACATTTTAAAATATTCAAGTAGAAAAGTCATTTTAAGATGTAATAATATTTCTCAATATTACTGTTTTTACTGCATTTTTGGTCAAATAATTCACCCTTGACGAACAAAAGACACTTCTTATTAAAAAAAAAAAAAAAAGTATCCCAAACTTTTGAATAAGTGCTTTTAAGATTATTTTGTTTTTGCTGAATTAAAATAGTTTTTTTTAATATATATATAAAATAGCAAATGCTTGTCTTTAATTACACACTGTCATATGAACAACCAGTGAATAATACTAATTTCATTTTTTTGGCAAACAATAAATACACACACATCAATTCTTTCTTTGAGTCAGGCTTGACTGAAAGTAATGGCTTGTGGTTAGTGAGTGAGTCAGTGATGTTGATTCACTAAACACTCTGAAGGGTTCAGTGAGTTAATTTGGTGAAGGATTTGTCAGACTGATTGAAACCAATAACTTTGTTTTTTGTGCAGTTCATTACACATACAATTTGTTTGTTTGCAAATTGCACTGCACTACTCTTGCTATATGTATTTGTGTGCAGTCTGTGAGGCAATAGAAAGATATCTGTTTTTTTTTTTTGCAGTTTTAATATCATCAGGAGCTGGTCTGTGCTAACTTACTGTTTCTTGTTCTCTTCACAGTGTGAGTTCTGTGGTGATAAGCCCAAATCAGGGGCAAAATATGGCATCCCCGAATCTCTGGCAATTTTATCAGAGATGGGAGAGGTCACGGATGGAGTGATGGACAACAAGGCTAAAACTATTAAAAATGGTTTTCGTTCATTTACGTAAAACTAAAACTTAAAAAACCTAAATGAAAATGAAAAATGTTGACTTGGCAACTAACTGAAATAAAAGTTTAAGCTGAAGTTCTAAAATTACTAAAACAGAAATAAACATAGAAATAGAAAATAGAATCTAAGTAGAAATATATATTTAAAAATACTAATAAAAACCGTATTCTAGAATTAAATAGAAAAACTGAAATATATAAATAAAAGCTAATTCAAAATACTAATAAATAGTATGATAGTAGATAAGTAATTCGAAAAATTGCACTGTTCGAATTTGTTTTAATGTCATTTTTTTCTGTTTTCAGATGGTACATTACCTCACCTCTCATGCTGACAAGATTGAGTCCATCCATTTTTCGGACCAATTCTCTGGTCCAAAAGTTATGCAAGAGTAAGTTTTATTATTTTTTTTTTTTCTCCTAGTAGTTTTGTTCTTCGTCTATGTTGGAGGAGCTTATACTGGTTAATAAATGTTAATGGTTTCTCAACTATTTTTAGGGAAGGTCAGCCCTTAAAGCTGCCCGAGACCAAGAAAACACTGCTGTTTACATTTAATGGTGAGAGAAATTCATAATCCACAAATGGCAATCCTCTGTACTTGCACGACACTGAAACATTCGTCAGTGTATTAATATGTTGTACTTTACAGTGCCTGGGATGGGTAACACATCTCCCAAAGATATGGACATTCTGCTGCCTCTGATGAACATGGTGATCTACAGCATCGACAAGGTCAAGAAGCTTCGCCTCAACAGAGAGGTGAGTGCACACGCACAATGTGAACAACAACAACATGTTGATTTAGTAACAGAAGGTTAACTGGTTGCTTCATATGGCTGTTCAGGGGAAGCAGAAAGCAGACCGAAACCGTGCTCGCGTGGAGGAGAACTTCCTGAAGCAGACTCACACTCAGCGACAGGAGGCCGCTCAGACACGCCGCGAAGAGAAGAAGAGAGCGGAGAAGGAGAGGATCATGAACGAGGAGGATCCTGATAGACAGCGCCGCCTAGAGGTGTGTGTTTGTACTGTATAATTAAAAATCGGATCTTTTCTCTTATTGTGCCATTATCTGCATCGATACATGATTTTCTCCTTGCTCTTTCATTCAGGAAGCCGCTCAACGTCGCGAGCAGAAGAAGCTGGAGAAGAAGCAGATGAAAATGAAGCAGATCAAAGTGAAAGCCATGTGAGACACACGCGCTCATAGTCATCAGAGAAAGAATCTACTACTTCCACACCTGCCAATGTACACTCTTCTACATGAATGTGCATGCCATTCGATTGGCTGCTATTGTGCCCATAGAAACGCTCTGTCCAATCAGGAGAAAGCAGCTGGTTAAGGAGTAAATCTGATCTTTAAAAGACAACTGGATTGGAGATGTCTGAACTGTTTGAACATGTTTTACTGTAGCAATCATTTCAATCATGAGTTGTCTGCCTAATTGCATGGCGGTTTTTAATTGCGACACTATTGCTTTTTGTGGGCTTTGCCATAATAATCCGGACCTTTTGGGCCTCTTCAAAGCAACTTGCCACTTTAGCCAACCTTTTTCAATTCAGTTGTCTCCTCAGTATGGACCCTCCAAAGCTTTGTGTAGAGGACATATGCTTTCATTTCTACTCCCAAGAGATTTAACTTCACCTCCTTAAAGTTTCAGCTGTGCTTCTTTTAAAAGTGAAATCCGGGAGTGTTTTTAAAAGGAACTGGGTGGGTATGAAAGCTACCTTTTTTTGTACTACAGTGCTTCCTTAACCCTATTTCTAAGAGTTCATGATTGCAAGCGTTTATAGATGAGTAATGGGCACATTGTCATTGTCTTTCAAACTTTCTTTTTTTAATGAGCAAAGGCCCACTGAATTGTCACTGTCAAGGCAGCACAAACTCCTTTATACGTATTTAACAGAGGTGAAATTTTAATTTATCGTTAAGTTAATAGTCGATCAGAGCATCCATGAGCTTGTATCATGTTTATGAGTGAACATTGACTGTAACCCTTTTTTCTGTAACATTTGTTAATGAGACGCTTAACTAAATAAAACATTCACTGAAAACATCTTATCGTCTCGGTCTTTGATTTCAGCTGGTTATTAAATCTTTTCTAAAATGCATTTCAAAAGTGTAAATGGCTAGTTCACCCCTGCAGTGTAATATGCTGTGTTTCCTATAAAGCAATTTTTAATAGCATTTTGATATTTTTTTTTTTTTAGAGAATGGATTTCCACATATTTATTAAGAGACCATATTTGTAAATTTAAGTTTACTAATTCATTAGTTTATTTTTGCCATGTATTTCATTTGTTGCACTGATGAACCAATTAAACTGAACTTGTAAAGGCACAAAGGTGTTTAAAAATTGTGAAAAATGGTTACTAGTTACAGATTATGAAAATACAAATTTTCCATTTGCATACTTTAAATTCTAGGCAATAATTAATAAAGTATTTGACACGTGCTTGAGTTATACAGACACATATACTACTGTTCAAATGTTTAACAATATTCAAAAAGTCAATAATAATTTTTAAAGAAAAGAAGCATTAAATTGATAAAGTATCAGTAAGGACATTTATAATGTTAAGATTTATAAGCTTTTCTTTTGAACTTTATACTCGAAATCCCGAAAAAAGCATCACAGTTTCAACAAAAGTATTAAGCAACTGTTTTCAACATTGATAATAAATGTTACTACAAATCAGCATAGTATAATGATTCCTGAAGGAGCATTTGACACTGAAGACTGGAGTAATGACTGCTGAAAATCCAGCTTTGTCATCACAACAATAAACTACATTTTAAAATATACTAAAATGGAAGGTATTTTAAAATTTCATATTTCATAATATCACTGTTTTTACTGTATTGTATAAATTAATGCAGCCTTGGTGAGTGAATCCTTTGAACAGTAGTGTAATTTAGATGTCTTTTAATGTGTCAAATAAATCAAGTTCTATGTGTTTACTAGACATCACAGTTTTATTTATTTTTCACATGTAGAGTCAATGAAAAATGTGGTTCCTCTGATATTTTAGAAGTTATTTAACACAGACCGTTTTATTTTTCACAGACAACAAATAATGTAACAAATATGAGAAGTGTAAGTGCACAGGGTTGGAGTTGAAACGTTCCTCTGTTTTTATATCAAGTATCAAGCTACATCTCATGCAAATACACATTTTCTTCAGTCTATTACAGTGGATGGAGAGGTGAAAGGGTTACAATTTCTGCAGTTCTACTTCAGCTGCCAGTATTGCGACATACAGTTAAACAACGTTCAGCTAATGCAAGCAGTTTTTCTGTGGTATGAAAGAAGATCAGGGGCGTCACAAACTCAGAAATCTGGACTGCTAGCAGTAGAGGTAGAACCTGACATGGCAGATGAAGCCAGTCAGCCTTACTTACTGAAAAGTAGATTAATACACAGATGTGAGGCAGAAAGTATATTGCTAATATAATCAAGCTGTTCAAAATGAACCGAATAGCGGTCTGTTTGGTTTTGTCAGGTCTTGACCTCTGACTGCCCACACCCACAGAAAAGATGCAACTCACAGGCACTGCCGCACAAAAAGAAACCATAGTCAATGGATGGTACACAGTGATATTCAAAACAACCGTGATGGTGTCTGTATTTGCTTTGTGGAAGCTTTGTGGTTCACATATGCTACAGGATGAGCCACAGCAACGTACAAGTCTATAGTCATGCCAGTGAAGAATAGAGATCCTCCAATCAAACTGCAGCTATTATTACGGCTGTAATGCGGTCACTCCAGCCAGGTTCTGGACGATGCTTAGCAGAACTCGGATGTAATATAATGAATGTGAGCAGGCTAGATAAAGAAAGAGGAGTTCGCTCTGGGAAGAGGGAGACGAGTTTCCTGGGCTTGAAGGTGTCCCACATAGTCTCAGAAATAGGTCCACAACCACATAGAGGGTTATTGGAAGATTGACAACAAGTATTAGGATATCAAGGATCGGGCTGTATGATCCTATGCAAAGCTGATCGTGGGATGAAATGTTGAAGCAATTCTCGTCTATGCTCTCGGAAGATGAGATGTTTGTCATCTCCATTCTACATCCACATGGGAGCTGGAACCAGCTTATTTCCCAGTTTTTTTTTTTCTTCTTGTTTTAGTTAAATCGTGGCCATGTTGTACTAATTTGTTCCTGTCATCATTTACTCACACTTGTGTCATTTTGAACCCACAAGACTTTGGTTAATCTTTGAAATGCAAATTAAGAAATGTTTATGAAACATCCTCCATTGAAAGTCCAGGTAACCAAAAATTTGAAGATTCAAAAAGTTTGTAATCCAAGTCTTGTGAAGATATAAAATCACTTTATATTATGAACAGATTCAATTAACATGCATACATAGAGCACATCTCACATGGTATACACAGAAGCTCATATGGATTCGTTTTATGAAGCTTTTATGACTAATAGAGGGACAGAAACCACTCAGGTTTCATAAAAAATATATTAATTCATGTTTTGAAGATGAACCAAAGTCATGCAAGTTTGGAACAATTTGAAGGTGACTAAAATGTTTTGGTATCATTTTACCTAAATTAGGGAACAAACGTACACAACTTGATTATGATTTACCAACAAGTGAACAAGTTGTAGTAATGAATTCTTAATGTTGTGTATGTCATGTGTGGGGCTCATACAAACCTGCTGAAAAAAAAAAACATGCATGAAACCAGCTTTGCTGGTTGAACTAGTTAAAATGTCTGGTTGGGCCACCAGCATCTCACTAGCAACTCAAACACAACATATGCTGGTGTTTTTTGGTTTAGGCCTATTGGTCATTTGATAATTTCACTACCATGGTTTTTACTACAAATATAATGGTTACTATACTATACACTTGGTAAATCTGGGGTTAGTGTGGTTTTAATACAATTTCCAGACAAGGAAATCCACCTGCATACATCCAATTTACTCACATATTAGTTAAGAAGCCAACAGACGGAATTCACATCTTTTGGTTTTTATTGACTTCCCGCTTATTGTGCTGTTGACTTTTGACCTGAGGTCTGGTCTAGCACATGGTCCTTGGCATGGAGATGTAAAAGAACAACTTACGGCATTGTAAGGCTTTCTTCTGTTTTGTTCTTGTATCCTTTTAGTTGACCCTCACACTGCCACTGAGTTCAACATGAAAATAAGCTGTTTCATGCTCTTACAGACAATGTTGTTGATTTCTTCTCTGTACAATGCAGATGCAAATTGTAGGAAAACTACCATGACATAGCAAATGTGAGGGGAAATCCAGTTTATTGCTGAATTATGTTTAGATCATATGGAAATGTGACTTAACAGGAACAAATGATGGCATATCACTTACAGGATTGGCTATTCTGACATGTGCATTGTTGAAAACCCATTTATCATACATAAAATAAGCATCAAATAACCATATATGTGTGTATGAAAATAAATGGCGTCATTTGTTTATTGTCTGATACCTATTGAACCAACAGAACTGTCCAAAAATGTGGCTTTTAAAAGCCTAGTAGATGTGCTCTTCCATTCTCAAATAAATACTGTTGTCACAAGAGACTGCAACATTTATTGTTACTGATATGGACATGTCAGCCTTATGTGCAAATGGTTGGTGTCAAATGACCACAATATGGCCTTACTTTGTCAAAATGGCATGTACAGCATCAGTAAGAGATATCATCAAACCTGCAAATGTGTCTTAGGAGGTTTCCTTTACATTGAGTTCAGCATATATACATTTGGTTACCAAATTTGTGATCAAAGCATACAGGTGCATCTCAATAAATTAGAATGTCGTGGAAAAGTTCATTTATTTCAGTAATTCAACTCAAATTGTGAAACTCGTGTATTAAATAAATTCAATGCACACAGACTGAAGTAGTTTAAGTCTTTGGTTCTTTTAATTGTGATGATTTTGGACTACTTCAGTCTGTGTGCACTGAATTTATTTAATACACGAATTTCACAATTTGAGTTGAATTACTGAAATAAATGAACTTTTCCACGACATTCTAATTTATTGAGATGCACCTGTAGAGCAGTTTTGAGGATTCCAATGAAGTTCATAACATTAGATACAATTCAAATAAATAGAATGACTCTTCACAGACTGATAAAGATGAAACAAGCACCTGCGCAGATTAGTGTGTATGAGGCATATAGAATGCAACATTTTTTTTCAATAAAATAAATTTTTTATTATTATTATCAATTCAGCATTTTTATCAAATGTGTTTCTAAAGTCTGTCTCCAAACAGCCTGTTTGGACATTAATAGCAGGATGATGTTTGACATTTTAATGTTGTCCCAGTTCACTGGGATTGTATTTCAAGCAAGTTGACACAACCTTCACTCCCCTGTATTTAAATTAATAAGACTGGGCCACATTGATTTCCTTTGTCATATCTTAAAATCATGATGAAACAGAAGTAGTGTCAGATGTTTTCTTCTGTATTGTGATGTACATCCAGGTGCAACAGATTATCGGGAAAAAAAATGTAGGGCTGGGACTTGTTCCTATTCATAGGTTGTTGATTTTGACATGGGAATTGCACAAAAAAATATAGGCAGATCTGAATATGAGCTTGCAGTCGATTGTGGGTGGATTTGAGCAGACTAAATGACTGAAGAAGTTTGACGTTTCACTGGAAAGTTAGAGTTATGACATTTTGATTAAATATTATAAAGAAAAATATGCAGGGATGAAAGATTCACAACAATATTAATATATAATAGTATAAAGAATAATGCATTTGTAAAACAGGTGAATTTTCATTTCATGCTGACTTTAAACAGTTCACTAAATCTATTTAGACTCATTGGTTGAAATGAAGCTGTTTGTAAATATATGCATACTTATAAGGTCATACAGTGCTAAAAACTATTCACAGTCAATGATATTAAACCAAAGTCCAATAATAATCTAAAAATAAACATTAATCACAAACATAAATAATAATAAATGACAATAGCATCAATTAGATTTTTTTTTATTACAGTTTTAACATTCAATTCACAATTATATGGGCATTGATTGTATCAGTGTAT